GCAAATAACTGTTATCAATTTATCAAATAAATCATCATCATGTATAGTTTTTAATTAATGAAAATTTAATTTTAATTAATGATATCTCATAAGTTCATCTAAGTTTGAAAATACAGTTTTAAAAAAAATTCTTTATATGGCAGAAACTAGGCACTATTTTCATAACTTGTTGAAATTTTACTACAATTCCTAATTTTCTTGAAGCTTACAGTTTTGAAGTCAGTTGGAAAAGCACTGTAACTTGTATTCTTTGTAAAATACCATTAGCAACCATACACTTATTTTCAAAATTGATATTTTTAAGGTAGTTCGCATGTCAAACAAGCTAATATGAGAATGAGGAATTCTGGAAACCATTTTCATAAGTTTGAATAAAATATAATGTACAGATCTTTCATCTTGTGCTGTCTGACAAATGTAGGAATTCACAATAACTGTTCATTAATAACATGCATATTTTTGACATACAATGTTACACTATTTATCTCTTTGAAAGATCATAATGTTAAGCTCACATGTGAAGATTTTCAAAAATCGATTTGTATGGCATCATTGCTGTTATCAAAATTTAAACTGTTAATTGGACTTAATTATAGATAACCAATATTTTAGTTTGACTAATGGATCCACAAGACATCCACTTACTGGAAAATACATATCTATATATCAGTAAGCCAAGGATCTGTTGTGTTCCCCCAATTTTTGATCATGGTGGTTAACCTCAATGTATTGCCAAATTATTTTTTGTTTCTGAAAACTAGAAACATGGACTGTTATGCCTCATATTTTGAGAATATTTTATTCATCAACCTTATTCTGGGCCTGGCATGGCCAGGTGGTTAGGATGCTCGACTCGTAATCTGCGGTCGCGAGTTCGAATCCCCGTGACACCAAATATGCTCGCCCTTTCAGCCATGGGGGCATTATAAGGTGATGGTCAATCCCACTATTCGTTGGTAAAAGAGTAGCCCAAGAGTTGGTGGTAGGTGGTGATGACTAGCTGCCTTCCCTCTAGTCTTACACTGCTAAATTAGGGACGGCTAGCGCAGATAGCCCTTGTGTAGCTTTGCGTGAAATTCGAAACAAAACAAACCTTATTCTGCTATGCAGTAGAGGCTGGTTATGTGTACATGTTTCTTACACATCAGTAATCAAATTATGGTTAAAGGTGTTATATTTTCTTCTTTTTTATTATACTAATTTATTTTTTTAATTTGCTTGTATTTTACATGGATTTTGGAAATTAGCAAATGTTCTGTATTATTTTTTATAGCCTATTCTACTCACTTATCAGCTCTATAACTACTATTAACTCTAACCTTAATTTAATGACTAATTCATCAAATATTTATGCTATTTCAGCATATTTCTCAATATGTATTTTAGTATGTGTTTATAAATTAGTTACCGTTCTATATCAGAACCAACTCTTTCAACTTAGGCCTAAAAATTGGAGTGGCACTACATTGGCAGCATATGTCACAGTGAAACATTCCTCTAACTTTAATTGGAATATTAACCTTAATTATTAATTCATTTAATTTTAATTATTAACTTGTATCTTTGTGTAATAAATTAAAAACAAACATAGTAAAAACAAAAATTCCAAGCTCTTTCAACTTAGGCCAGAAATTAAAGTGGGACTATATTGGCAGTCATCTGGCTGAAGTAGGTGATGGATTGGACATTTTGGTGGGCTTGAGCACATTGTGTTACCTTTGTAGCTATGCTTTTAATTTTTGTGTTCTTAAAGAGCTCTGATTTAGACATACGAGTACTTTTATGACTATTTCTTATTTCGTTTATTTACTAAAATTGTTTATAGTTAAGAAAAATTTTAACAGTACTGCTAGTACATATTACTTCATTCTGCCAAAGTTCTTTTTGTAGAAGCAATTTTTATTTGTCCATTTTTCAACCACCTATACATGCTGACTGAACGTTTTAGTGAAAATAAACTACCAGACTTTGGTGGGCAAGCCTGTTAGTCTCGTATATAAAAGAAATAGAAAGTTTTGAAAACTTAAAAGTTTAGTTTTTTTAAAAAAAGATTTGCATTATGTTCTATGATAATTTTACTTTCAAGTTATCTGTCAAGGATATCCTGAGAGCATTTTTTTTTCCTTTTTTTTTTTTTTTTTTT